TCCATTCTTCTCAAGGCTAGGCAGAGTGTTATATGATACATACAGTCTAATGCCTTGACATAGTCAATAAAACAAATGTAAATATCTTTCTGGTATTCTCTGCTTTCAGTCAAGATCTATCTGACATCAACCTTGTTCCATGTCCTCTTCTGAATCCGGCCTGTACCACTGGCCGCTGCCTGAGTGTACTGCTGCAACCACTGTTGGATAATCTCAAGCAAAATTTACTTGCATGTGACATTTTTCTATAGTTTGAGTATTCTGTTGGGTCATCTTTCTTTGGAATGGGTACAAATGTGGATCTCTTCCAGTCAGTGGGCTAAATAGTTGTCTTCTAAATTTCCTGGCATAGACATGCAAGTGCGCAAGTGCTACTAGTGCTTCATCAGCTTGTTGAAACATTTCAATTGCTATTCATCAATTCCTGGAGCCTTGTCTTTGGTTAATGCTTTCAGTGCAGCTTGAATTTCTTCCTTTAGTATCATCTTCTCTTGATGCTTCCTGTATCACTCAATATTTTTCCCATAGAATCTTTCAATATTTCAACTTACGGCTTGAATTTTTCTTGAGTTCTTTAAGATATGATGAGTGTGTTCTTCCCTTTGGGTTTTTAAATTCTAGTTTTCCGCATAGTTCATTATAATATTTGGCTTTATCTTATCAAACTGCCCTTTAAATTTTTTCTATTCAGCTCCTTGACTTCATCCTTTCTTCCATTTGCTTTGCTTCTTTACTGTCAAGGGCAAGTTTCAGGGCCTCCTCTGACACCCACTTTGGTTTTTTCTTTCTTCCTGCCTTTTTGATGACCTTTTGCTTTCTTCATGAATCATGGTCTTGATTTCCTCCCATAGGTCATTAATTCTTCTGTCACTAGTGTTCAACTTGTCTAATATGTTCTGAGATATTCTTGAAACTAGGAGGCGATACGCAAGGTCATATTTGGCTATCGTAGATTGCTTTTAAAGGTCTTCAGCTTTATATTGAACTTCCGTATGAGCAAGTGACGATCTGTTCCACAGTCAGTCCCCTGGTCTGATTTTAGCAGCTGATCAGGAGCTTCTCTGTTGTGTCTTCCCACAGGTGTAGTCACTTTGATTTCTTGTATTATGTCTGGAGAAGTCCATGTGTAGAGTCACCTTTTGTGTTGGTGGAAAAAAGTATTTGCTATCAATAGTCGTTGATTTTGTAAAAGTCTATCACCAAGTCCTTATTTTCTAACTACTGTTTCTTCCTCCTTGTTTCCAACTTTTATATTCCAATCACCAATACTTATCAATGCATCTTGATTGCATATTTGATCAATTTCTGAATGAAGTCATTGGTAGAATTCTTTAATTTCTTCACCACTAGCTTTTGTGGTTGGGGCATAAATTTGAATAATAGTTGCATTGATTGGATTTCCTTGAAGGCTATCACAGACAGCATTGTGTCTTAAAATGTGCTTTTTGAAGATGAATGTGAAACCATTCCTTTTTCTTTTTTCTTTTTGCTCTTTAAAAGTATTCTACATCCTAGCATTTTTTCTTGTTATTTATTTGAAAAAGTTTTACTAACACTTAATACAAATATCACACAATTCAATATTTCAATCATATCGATAAGGTTTGTAAAATCATCACCATATGTTAACAAACCCATGGACAAGGGAACAACAAGTGATACAAAATCGGTGGTGAGGAGGCTGTAAGAGGCCTGGTAGGGCTTGATCAAGGGTAAGGTAACTGAGAGGAATTACTGAAACCCAAATGAAGGCTGAGCATGATAATGGGACAAGAGGAAATTAAAAGGAAATAGAGGAAAGAAATAGAAGGCAAAGGGCATCTATAGAAGTCTAAATACAGGCATGTACATATGTAAATATATTTATATATGATGATGGGGAAATAGACCTATGTGCACATATGTATAGGTTTATAGTATTAAGGTAGCAGATGGACATTGGGCCTCCACTCAAGTACTCCCTCAATGCAAGAACACTTTATTCTATTAAACTGGCATTCCATTATGCTCAACTTCCCGACACGATCATTGAAGGCAAAGTGGGTACATAAGCAAATGTGGTGAAGAAAGCTGCTGGTGCCCGGCTATCAAAGGATATAGCGTCTGGGGTCTTAAAAGCAAGCAGCCATCTAGTTCAGAAACAACAAGCCCACATGGAAGAAGTACACCAGCCTGTGTGATCACGAGGTGCGGATGGGAACAGGTATCAGGCATCAAAGAACAAAAAGTCACATCATGTGAATGAGGGGGAGTGTGCAGTGGGGACCCAAAGCCCATCTGTAGACAACTGGACATCCCCTTACAGAAGGGTCTCAGGGAGGAGACAAGCCAGTCAGGGTGCAGTGTAGCAACGATGAAACATACAACTTTCCTCTAGTTCCT